AGCGCCTGCCTGGCAAGCGCAAGGTTGTGAGTTCGGTTCCCGGTACCGGGGAAAAACCAAAACCAAAAAAACAAACAAACAAACAAACAAAAAACATTTACTATGTATTCATCTACCTCTAATCCTTCTGGTAATTTCCTACTCATTCTTGGAAAACAAAAGTGTTTACTGTGTTTCTTTGTTTGGCTGAATTGAGTCTAAGTTGTATCTTTATCCTCCAAGGCGGTATTAACTTTCCTCCTGATTATAAATATATATATATATTCCTTTTATCTTGTGTCTTCCTTTTGTACCTTAGCGATATTCCAATATGAAAGATACAATAGATTCACACAGTAGTACCTTACATGATCATCCTCTTTTCGTATAATGATAAATCCTGGACACAGGAACTATTTATTTCATGCCTTTGGCACAACCTGAAGCAGTTTTGAGCTCATTGTGCCCCCTGAATACATTCTTCTTGCCTAATAAATGAATTGCCAGTTATTTCTCATGCAGTGCGCTAATCGTACTGGAATGTTGTCTTAGAATTTTAGAGATAAAACAAATTCAGTGAGTACATTGTATGTGTATGTAACTGAGACTTAGCATATTTTTATTCCACTTTCCTTGCTACAATCTATGTCGTGGGAGTATGGGCAGGTCACCTAGTTTTTTCAGAACCCAAATAACTAATACAAGAGAATTAGCTAGGGTCTATTAGCTCATTTTTCTTTACCATAACAAAGTACTTTTAGCTTGATATTTTATATAGAAAAGAGGCTTAGCTAGTTCATAGATCTAGAAACTTGAGGGCATAGCACTGGCATTGGATTAGCTTTGGTGAGGCCTCCATGGCAGATGGCATCACAGAAATAATTAAAAGTATAACGTGCATGTGCTCAGTCCGCATGAGAAATGTTTCATTGTGTATGGAAAACATGTACTAAAAATGAAATAGCAGGTACATAAGTAAGAAGGAAAGCTCACAGGGCAAGACAGGATCCAGAGAGCATTTCAGGGGAAAGCTTGCTTTTCAGTAAACACCCTTGTCATGTGAACTGGTGGGGGTAACACGTTAGTTATTATCTGAATGCAGCCTCCCAGACCTAATGATCTTGCAGAACACCAGCCTCTTATAGGTTCCATTTTTTGGCACAGCCACACTGGGGTATAACTTGCAATACTTTGAACTTTGAGGGATGCACATAAGCCAGGGAGAAACCCTAGCGTGCAATGCAGTTAGGGAGTGGTTGAAAGAACCCATGAGCACTCATCTACCTGCATTGATGTGTCTGGAGTGGATTTTAGTCCCATATATTACTAAATGGGAAAGAGTGATATGAAACGAAATACTGGGTCTGTCCTAGAAAAAAGAAGGAAGATGGATGTCTATACATGCCGCATATTTTTTCATTTCTGTGTTTCTATTTCAGTAATGCTGATGTATTTTTAGTGCTAGTTTTTCCCTTTTTCAATAGATAGCTACATCGAGAGATAATTATCAAATACTTTAGGCAAGGTCAGGGATAGTGTAAGTATTCATTTCCGTATGTATGCAGTCCTACATACAAGTTGCCGGTAGAACAGCCATTTTTTTTTAACATGGCTTAGTTATTTCTACCTTCCCACTTGCACCCCACTCCTAAAAGAGCATAAACATAATTAGAAATGCTATTAAGAATAACTTAAAACAGATTTTTTAATTTGAAAACAAAGATAATGAGAAGAGATGAGAAAGGAAAGGTGAACCGAATTGGCCAAATGAATGCGTTTAAAAATACAGTTTCCTGCAAATTAGCAAGAGGCAGAGATGCAAATTTAGAGATGGTACCTCAGAGGTCTGGTGGCTCACTCTTCCTGGGATCAGAGTTTGAGGCTGCTTAGCTGTGAGCCAGCAGCACCATCTAGAGGTCCATGGCGATCCTGCAATCAAAGGAAACAAAAGAGCGCCCAACTCTATTACTTTAGCAATAGCAGAAATATTACTGCATTTTTCAGCACATAACCCTTGCAGAATGCCTCTGAAGGAACGGCTTCCAATTCCCATTAAGCAATGACTGCAGGGTTCATTACCGGGAGCATTCAAGGCTTCACTTCAGAAGCTGAAACTTACCTCCACTACTTCCCTACCGAGAGGCGAGTCACTGCCTTTCAAATCAGTTAATTCATTCCACACATTTCACTGGAATCCTGCCATGCCTCAGGCTTTGTGGCAGGTGCCAAGGGACAAAGACAAGAATATATTACTGGAAGTCCCTCCATCCCCCCGGCCCACATACCCACACATAACCACACGTATAAATTTTCTTCTGTCTTATCATTTTAAACGTTTTCTAAGTGGTGAGAACAGAAATATTTCAAAGCAGCCACTATGTTTCAAAAACACTTGTTCTGTGTAAAACCATCAGGATAGTTTAAGTGAAATCATGGGTTCGAATAAGTTGAGAGTCATAGCGGGTTTTACAGTCTTAGAGCAGTCACTTTCAAACTGTAGTGAATATAGGAATGACTCGATGTTATTTTAACTACAGTGCAGAATCCCAGGCCCGAGCTCCAGAGATTCTAATACTACAAATGTGTGTTAAGGCCCAGGATCATGCAATATATTTTAATATATCTACCATGTTTCAAGGATGGAAGTGAGCTGCCAATCAGGAGGAAGGTTCTAATTTTGAGTAAATAAGGGATTCCAGGATCATACATTAGAAATGTCTAGCTTTTGATCAATTCCCTTTGCTGAATTTCTTATATGCTATATCTCAGGAGTGTTAGGTGTTTAGAATGGCAGCTCTGAGCAGGGGATATAGCTCAGCAGCAAAAGTGTCTGCCTGGCAAGCACAAGGTCTTGAGTTCGAGTCTCGGTACCAAAAAACAAACAAACAAAAAAATAGAATAGCAGTCCTTTAACTAGCGTGAAAGACATTCCATCTAATTATTACAATTTGATTAAGACTATATCTTTAGATTAATTTTCCAGAGCATTTTATTAAAATATAGACCCTTAAGTTTGTGACTATGCACACTTTTAAGTTCTATTTGCATAAAGATATATCATGTGAGAATGCTCATTTAGTGAGGCCCTTGTTAAATGTAACTGGGAATCCGTTCTATTAGCAAACTCACAAGTGTGAGGCTGTGTGGGTGCAAGGAAGCTGAAAATTAGAAACTTGAGTGGATTTCAATACCTAATTCTATGCCAAACATAGGCAAATCAGAGCCGAATAAAATTCTGCCAAGTTGAGGGCAATTTAGTTCTCATTCTTTTGCAGTTCAGCAGCCTCTGTATTGAAAGATGCCCAGTTATTAATCTGAGAGATTTTATGAAAAACCTGGGCCATTTGAATAAACTCTTATAAACTACCCTTGGCAATAAATACTTCCATTTGCCTCATCCTTTCCAATCGTTTTTTTTTTTATTCCCATATTATATCTCAGATGGAATATCAAACTAGTGTAGTAATCAATCACCTTTACATTCTCACATCTCAAACTCAATAAATTTGCTTCTATATCCCCACCATAGAGGTCTTCCTAAACCATCCACGTGATTGTACCATCTGCATGAAACCTTCCAACATTGCTGTACTGATTGATGTACAGAATTCAAATTTATAGCGCTCACTACTGGTTTGATCTCATACCCATTTGAGAATCTAACTTTAAACTGCAATTTCTGATATGCTGAATGTTTCAACCTTAACAACTCTGACATTCCCCCAACTTTGTCATGATCCTTTCTCCTACTAGATTATGACATGTGATCATTACCCAAGACATTCAAGTTGGCTGTTACCTGTCTGTGGAATAGTTTTCATAACATCCCAGGCTCTCTGCCATGTGCCATTTCTTCTTTTATTTTTTGAAGACCCTGTATATGCTGCCATCAGAGTAGCACTGTACATTAGAAGGAAACTTGTAACATTAAAAATCATAGTTTGTAATTCTTACCTGTTACTATCATTAAAATGTGAGCTCCTTACAAGTAGAGGATACAATTAATTTTGTATTGTCTAATTATAATCTCTATAATTACTTGTTAAATGTGTTCATGAATGCGCCCACTTAACTTTGTTTATCAGAACACTTAAAACCCTCAAATAATTGAGATGATTTTCTAAAGGGACAAAATTGTGAGTCAAATAATTTGACCTGTGTGTTTAGTTATAATTAGATTTTTAAAGTGAGTTCCAGGAATAGAAATTCAGATTAAAAACAAAGAAGAAGAAGAAAGAGGCCAGGTTGGAGGTCCTAGCTGTTCAGAAACCTCAAGCTGGAGGACGGGAGTTCAAGGCTAAGGTTGGAAATATAATAAGGCTTGTAGAAAAGGAGAAAGAAAGAGAGACAGAGAAAGAGAGAGAGAAAGAGAGAGAGAAAGAAAGAAAGAAAGAAAGAAAGAAAGAAAGACAGACAAGAAAGAACTCTCAGAGTAATATTGAAAGGGAAATAAATGAATAGTACTTTAGTGTCACCCATCAAAAATTATGAAAATAGGGGCTGGGGATTTAGCTCAGCGGCAAAAGCGCCTGCCTGGCAAGCGCAAGGTTGTGAGTTCGGTTCCCGGTACCGGAGAAAAACCA